TTTTTATTAATTATGAAATGTGGATTAAATTCTTCAAACCCAGTTTTGAAGCATTGAGACAACACCCCCTTATGATTTAAACTAAAACTGAAAACATTCCATTAGACTTTCATTAGTTTGTGCAAAATATATTACCCAGGGTAACGCGTCTTGGATTTGGTGGGTATAGCTGTTCAACTCTCCTGTGTGCCCTAAAAAGGGCAGCTGCTGTTTCCTTTTTTATGAAATGATAAACTGTGATGGTGTAGCTATCACATCGCAAAATTACAGCTTCCCAGAGAAAGTTTGAAATTTTCGGTCAAATTCAACATTTTGTAACCACTAGCAAAGAATGACAGAGCAGTATCGAAGTAGCAAAAAAGCATTAACGCAGTAGTGGTGTGGAGCATATTTGCAGTAGAAATGCAGCATAGCCTGCTGCAATTCTACTCCAAAAAGTACACAGGTTTGTATAGAGAGGAGCATTAATGCAGTCGATTAGCAGCATTATAGAAGCATGTTTCAAATATGCTAATTAGCTCCCAAATCGAAGCAGATTTGAAGCATGTTTGCAGTATGATTGCAGTAGTCTACTGCGCTGGAGTATCTACTGCGTTTTCTTGCGGTTTGGTTAAAGATATTAACTGTTTAAATAGTTGTTGCTAAAAATAGATTAACATTTGTCCTAATTATCATACTCCAGCATAGCAGTGTATTTTTCTTTTTACTGTTGGGTTTTAATGTGAAATAGAATTCAATGTGAAAATACAACTACTGACAGTGATTTAAACTAATTTTCAATCTTTCTAACCACGCATATTAACACACTTGCCAAGGTAATATGTTTTGAAAAAAAAATGGAATACCCACTTCATGTGACTTACCAGATGGTTTTTTTGCCCGTCTAATAGAATTGTGACTGATCTGATCCTTCAAGTCTTAAGGACTGCTGTCTGTTTGGATCCAAGAATGCACTATTGCCTTCGACGTGATACCAGTGATCCCGTATTTCAACGAACAACCCCTATCGTCGTCAAATTAACAAGCTGAACACAACTGTCTTTAAATATAAACATAGTCATTTATTGTTGTGTGGGCTTCCAAGACAATGAAGACGCTACTTAGTTATGGTGGTTCTTTAGAATATATAATCGATGTACAATATCTGAAAATGAGATGTTTAGTGATTTGTAATTTTTTCAAAAGAGCATATACAGTTAATAACATATTTAAAAATGTGTCCAACACCATACATCTTTAATATACCCTCGTGCAGACGAGACAAGAAGTAAAGTGGCTGACACGGAGTTTGAAGGTTAAACTAAAAATGTCTTTCAGTTGAAGGTCAGTCCCACAACACAAACAACATTATGCTTTAAAAGTGATTTTGGTCTAGCGATTGCGCAGCCCTTATAGTGGTATCGGGCATACAGTGTAGCTGTCAAAAGCACACGGCAAGCACGTGTATTGTGTTTATATATTCAGGAGCAAATGTTCTTTGATGAGCAAAAAATACAAAAACATTGGATATATTTTTTTCTTTTAGAAACAAATTATTTATTTTTTCACTTTACATCTCAAATACAGTAAATAAAATTAAATAAAGCAGAATTAAATCTGTTTTACATTTCATTTTGGTCTGATGACATTCAACTGCAGATTCACTGCGGAGCAGTTCTTTTTTATTCACGGAAATCGCACACTGTCGCTGTTCCTCAGGGTCACTGTTGAAGCCCGATTCACAGTGACCCTGACACTCAGGGCAAATTTGACAGATATCAAGGTAATTGGAACACATTATGATTGTAAGCCCCGCTACAAGTAATTAAATGAATAAGTCACCGGATGATATTTCTAGTCCTTCCATATATTTTTGTCTGGGCTAATGCCCCCAACTTTGAGCGAATGATGTGTGCTATATTCAGTAAGGTATGCTGTCCTTAATGTGAAATCAGTGATTGCGTATTCCAATGGCTATTTCCTAGGGCCCTCAATTTTACCAGATTAACATACTTGTGTTATTAATTTATCTATTTAACCCAGGGTGCAAACATGGAATATGCGTTAGTAAAAACTTTTATTGTATACAATAATGGATCATCGCTAGATAGTCCCGAGCACACCACTGTAAAACCTAAAACAACCTGTTATTATTTGTAATTGTTCATATAATTTACCTTCCAAGACCTGCAAGGTACTTGAAATTCACCTTAGCTGTAACTATGTTATAATAGGGCAGAACAGAAAAAAAGGAAGAAGCCATATACCAACGTGCGATCTCTCAGCACAAATACCACTTCAAGCGAATTGCTTTTGCACTTTACCTGACTTTGTCAATTTCGGGAACCGAATATCAATTTCATCAGTATCAGCTTATATACTGAAATCCGTATATGGATTTTGTATATTTTGTTATAGTGTGTATGGAGGCTATGCTGCGAAACCCCCATCTGAAGTTTGAACACTTATCTACCGTCAGTTTGTCATCGAAAGGAGGGCAAAAGTGTGAAACTTTGATGAACGCACTAGGGTCCCACAATACCCTCACACCAGTCGTCTTCCAGTGTAAACGGGTCTTAGCGGATCCTTCGCTAAACCTCCATTTCTACCAGTTTTACTAGTTGGACATTGTTGGCGTTTAATGTAAACATGAAAAACATGTCCTTAAGCGGGGTATCTGGATTTTTCTACATTAACCTAAATGCTATCGGCATATGCTCAATGAATAAGACACGCCACCAGGTAATCGGACCATTATTGTGCCTACCAGCGCTAGCTTCGTTTCTCAGATGCATGGTATTCTAAAAAACACACTTGTTTAATTTCATATATAAAATACGTATTGATGGAATGCCCCATGAACCTGACGTATTTTTTTTACGAATTAGTGGTTTTCCAAAAGAGTAAAACTA